GTTTAAGTGTTCCCTTTATTTTTTTTGAGCAGTATATATATTAGGGGTGCAACGACACAGAAAATTCCCGATTCGGTTCGGTTCAATACTTTAGTCTCACGGTTTGATATTTTTTCGATACAAAAAAGAGAAATGTCCATGCCCTTTTTAACTTGTAATTTATTTAAATTAATTGTGAACATTCGTTTAACCTCAAAAGTACAGTTCTTAAATTAAATGTTGCTGAAACAGCAAGTTTCTCAGTGGATCTGCACTGGACAATGCAGCCTAGGTGGAGTAGTCGAACACAGATCCACTGATCCTTCAACACAGAGCATCTTCAGAAGATAAGTTGCTAAAATAAATGTAAAAAAATCTGTATTCTTCGATACAAGTGTGTATTGAACCTAAAGCACTGTATTGAATGGTTTGATACAGGTACATGTATTGTTGCACCCCTTGTATATATATTTTTTTCTTTTTTTTATCCAGTGTCACCAAACAGGCACTATAATAGTCAATGTAAAAACAAGTGAATAAATCTTAAGGAATGAAACTTTTCAGTGGTTTTTTGTTCTGTGTATGCAGTTCGAAGCTCCGCATTCTTAAATCCTAACTTCATAACATGAAAGCCCATGAGAATCTTCAGATGGAGCTTTGCAGGTGGAGGGAGGCTTACTCCTGCTAAGCCCTTATTTGGTTGACTTTCCTTGGAGTGATCACCACAACACAGGTGATGCCGTTATCTTTTGCTGCCATGTGTGTTGGAAATAAAATTACCTCCTCAAACCTCCCCAGATTCAATTGATGTGGAAGAAGTTAGTATTTTCAGATACCCAGCACCACCTGGGGCAAGTCTCCTTATTCATTTTCAGCTAACCATGAATGTTTTGCTTTTCTGAAGCTCTTGATTGGTTTTAATTTAGACTATTTGCGTTGGAGATGGCGCTGGATGATAATTATGCCTGGAACTGTTCTAATACATTTGGTGACACACTTCTGCTGGTATAAAAGATTTCATCAAAATATGACAAGTTATGAATATTGATGACAGTAGGCACTTTCTAAATTTGTCATTTCACAAGCTGTTCTGAGCTGTTATGGTCATTGCACTCCTTCAGACTAATTAACATCTGCCACTGAAGGTGAAGCGGCAACATTGTTTTGGCCTGTTGCTGTTTGTGTGTTTTGGTGTGTGTGTCCATGTTCAGTTGTCTGTACTGCAAAATGTCCCATGATTCACTGACTGGATTTGAATTCAACTTTTAGAAAGTAAAAATTGAGCTGATATCTACAACTGATTGACTCATAGCGTCATCTCAACTCAAAATGGCTGTGGACCATTCTGAAAAGCCCGAGGTGTGTGTGTGGGGGGGGGGGGTGAAGTGCCTCATTTGGATTTAAAGAGACAGCCTCAAAACGAGCTGCTTTGAGACACACTTCAGAAAAGGGGCGAAAGAGGGGCTTGTGGCGTTACAATAAGGAGGAATTCAGACCAAAGCATTGTAGTTCTACTTTACAGACCCCAACTGAAGGATTTAAATGTGAAAAAGGATTTAAAATCAGGATATGTCTCCTTATTCATCACAAAATGGTTATAACTTAGTTTATTTCACAGATATCAAGGCTTGATTTCCACCAAAACAGCTATACCTCTGTCCCTTCTCACAATAAGATAGTTCAAATTACTCGCATGAAAATTGGTGGGTGGAACTGTACGTATTCTTTCAATGAATGATTGGACTTCATTTTTATAGAAATGTTTTTTTGTTTGTATTTTTTTTTTACGCAAAACATAAAAAGTTACCATGATAGATTAAAACAATAATCAGTCTACCTGGCCGGAAAGAAGCCCATATTATATTTAGGATTGGATCCTCCGTGCTTCTCTGCAGCACAAGATTCAACAAAATCTTATCTATTACAGGTTATTTCTCTGCCAATTTTGTAGGTACAGAATGACCTTTTGCCTTCTCTTGAGGCTTTGTAAATGCACAGGTCCAAGAACAGTTTTCAGCAGTATTTTATCTCTGTCCCTGTGACAAGTTCAATCATCAGTCCATTACCTAACCCAATAAATCAGGGACAAAGAGGAACTTGGATCATATTTCCCCACCTCCTTCTTTTTTAAATAAATGGGACATTAAATCCATATTAATTAAATTTCACCATCAAAAATCTGTCCTCTGATAAATTGATCCTAAGCTCTCGTGCTACCAAATATATTTTCTCATTGAAACGTCTTTTATTCTAACCCTGCTGACATTCGCCTACATTTTGTGCTGCAACATTGCGCTCCACCTCTGCGTGTTACATTAACTGTGACTTATGTCAGTTTTCCCACCTTTCCTGTGGTCATGTATCGAGACTGGCCCTAATTAAATCTGATCTGAAAGATTTATATCAAAGAATATCCCCAGTGGAGAACTTTCCCCCTTATAGAAACTGCAAAAGCTTTTGAACAGATTAAAGTGATGGAAAACTGTAGGGTCAGCATAATGTTAACAGTAGGAAAAAACACAGAAATGYTCTCTAATACAAAAAGGGGGGATTTTTTTTCTCATTTAGAACATTTAAAATTTAGATTTTATATGAATAGTTACTTGAGGCATGTGCATAAATAAAATTTGGGTGTGAAAATGTGAGGTTATGGTAAAAACAAGAGATTTTGAAGGAGAGACTGAAGCTTACTGTTAATGAGGCATGACTCCGCTTCCTGGCAGCAACCTCCAAATGCATCAAAGACTATATCAGACTAAACAAGGCTTTAAAATTAATGAATAGCTTTGTCTCTAAGGGGTAATTTTCCATCATCAGCATTGGCAAACCTCATTGTCAGGAGCGGAGCAGAAGACGGCAAAGCATTGTTGCTGCATGCGTTTACCCTGATTAATTCATGGAACAGAGAGGGTCTGATCCTGACGATTCTTTCCTTTTGTTATCATGGGATTCTCCTCAGGGTTTTAGTAATATTGCTCTCCGGGGAGAGTGCGGGTATTTAGGTTAGCTTGTTTGCCAAATGCCCCGAGGAGTTTCACTCAGATCAAAAGGGGTCTGGCCTATTAGATGTTGGCATCTAACAAATATTGATAAGTTCACACTTCACAGCTGCATGGTTAATCACAGGAGTAACTTTAAAGATTGCAGATTTCTCCAGTGTAACTTTTTTTTTTTCATCTAAAAAGAAAACGGAGCGTGAGCCATTTGCATCTGGGGATGCCTTTCAATTTGCCAGGCTTTGCCATTTGACTTTTCTCCGACAAATTGCACTACTTCCTTTAAATGAGGAGTATATTGAGCATGAGTACTCCTAATGCTTGCCTCCGATGCTGCAGCCAGAGTCGGCCTTTTAAGTTTGTCTGCGTCACTAACCCCAATAAGCTTGCGGGCAGTGGAAGTTTTTTACTGAAATACCACATAATTGGCCATTCTTCATGGACGACATAAACCATGTTACTCCACCAGAAAATGAGGCATGTAATAAACTTGCAAGAATATGTTCGTTTCAGCCAAGACTCTTTTTCTTTGCCTAATATAGGGCCATTTGCATGCTTCAAAGGTTTCTTTGGCAAAAAAATAATAACATGTGCCTGTAAAGCACTGGAGAGCTGTGATGCTGCCAAGAGCCCTTAAAATATTTACTTGTATGCTCATAATTMATTTAATTATTCAGGCTTAACCTCTAATTTCGATGCTTTTTCTTAAAGCACTGTTCATGTTTCTTTAAGATTTGTTCAGTGAATATGTCCGTGCTTGTTTCCAATATTTTGAGGCATTCTTAGCCATAAAGTTAAAAAGTTTTAGGCATGCTACGGGCACTGCTCCTAGAAAAATCCWAGGAAAGAATCATTTGTTCTTTGTGGGATCAAGAGATTTTCTCAGGGAGATACCAAAAATGTTGTGTATTGCTTTTATTTACACTCTCCTACTTTTCTTAGATTTATGTATTACTCTTTCCCAGATTCGAGCTACCTGCATTATTTTGGGAATTCGTACCTTGAGTTTCAAGGTATTGACCTTGACGAGCTCAACAACATTACAGTGAGATTTCAAACCATGGCAGCTCAGGGAACTCTTCTATATGTGGATCAAGGACCTGTTAATGGTGACTTCTTTTTCATGAAACTCTTCATTCAGGATGGAATCTTGCAGGTAATGTTAGAATATATATATTATGTTTTGCTAGCCATACACACGACAAGAAGTCATGATTTTCATGAATTAATTGCACAAAACAAGGCTGCATGGCTTTCTGYCCAGTTCAGTGTAAATGTAAAATTCAGTGAGACTGCAACAGAAAATGTGTTTTGTCTCACAATTCTAAGTTGCCAGCTTTGTTAAATGCTATTTTGACTAATTTTTAACAAACATTTTCTTGAACAAAGACAGCTACAAAGATATTTTGCCTTCAAATAAAGGTCTTTGATTGACAAAATAGAACAAATTCAAATTAGTGGCTCTAACTAAAAAAAAAATCACAACTGGATGAGCATCAGTAATTGTTTTATCCTTGAATCTGAACTTCAGTCATTTTATGGTCCTTTGAGCTGTAAAGTGAGAAAACACAGATCACATGCCTAAAACCTCTTCTCAAATGTTTCAGTATGCCTTTTGCTGTAATGAAGAGGAGGAGGTTACATGGATGAGCACACTTGTTCAAGTTGACGATGGCACAGTTCACATTGTAAACATCAGGTACGTGCTTGTAGCGGTGATGTAACCTTAGCTACGTTTTAAAATTCCTGTGTTGTGGGAAGCTTAAACTCAGGTTATTAAAAAAACAAACTGCTGATTTGTGAAAAAAAAACTGTTTTAACAAAAATCAATTAACAGTTACGGTTTTTAATTTTAAGGATGTCAAACCAGATGCTGTGATATTTATCTGCTTCAGGCAAGGATATATTTTATTGAGGAAAAACACAAAATGCAATGTTCACGTTGATAAACCATTTATACATTTGTAAGATACAAATTTACCTTTTTTTAATTAATGTTAGCACCTCAGGTACTTTTGGTTAGATCCCTGGTTTGTCACTTATTCTAACCATGGTAGATTTGTTTCCAAAGAAAGAATTATCAGTAACTCCTGAGGAAGCTAAATAATTGTCAGGAATTCCCCAATGGGGAATGTAGATTTTATTACAAATGAGCTTATATCTTAAAGAAGTGAAACAAACGTCAGAATGTGCCTGTTAGTGATCACTGACCATGTTTTATTGGCTGTTCTGAAGTCTTCATTTGCAGTTTTTCATTACAAAAAGATTAACAAGCAGAGCTGAGCACAAAATCAATGTTTAAATGATTTAAAGTGAGGCTATGGCTGCTTTAGTTATGTTGTTCCTAAGCCCATGTGCAGTCTTCCTGCCAGCTCGCTCTGTTATATTCTATGGCAAAGGTTGTGGTTTGGTTTTAAGATGCAGTGTTATTACTTATAAGCAGGAAGCTGAAACAAAGCAATCAATTCCCATATAAAGTTGTTTTAGAAACATTTTTACACTGTTCAAAGAGGCAACCCCCCTTTTATTTYTTTTATTTGGAATATGAAGAAATGTTTTGTCTATCTTACAACTCCAGTTCTGAAAAAAAAAAAGGTTGTGTAAAACGCAAGTAAAACCAAAAATGCAATAACTTGCACATCCCATAAACACATTTTATTCACAGTAGAACATAGTAAACATATCAAATATTAAACTAAGAAATTGTTCACATTTTAGGCAGAAATAAGTTAATTTTGAGTTTTATGGCAGCAACGACATGGGGCGATGAAAAGCCATAAATAGCTGGAGGAGCATTTTACAATTAATTAGGGTGATTGGCATCAGGTCAGCTAGATGACTGGGTAAAAAGGGCAATTTACAGAGGCTGAATTTCTTTGAAGTAAAGATGGGCAGAGTTTCACCAGTTGGCAAAAAACTGCGTCAAAAYATAGTGGAATAATTTCAGAATAATGTTCCTCAATGGAATATTGGGACGATTTTGAATATGACATTCATGTTATTATTAAATTTCAAGAATCTGGAGAAGTCTCTGAGCAAAGGACAACGCTGAAAGACAATATTAGATGTCCCTGATCTTCAGGGCCTCAGGCAGCACTGCATTAAAAACAGGTCAGATTCTGTTATGGACATCACTACATGGACTCAGGAACACCTCCACATTTCATTGTCTGTAAACTGTTTGCTGTGCAATTCACATTGGTTAAAGTTCTATTACGCAAAGAAGAAGCCATCCAGAAACACTGCTGTCTTCGGGCCAACACTCATTTCAAATGAACTGAGCCAAAAATCAAAACTTGATTTTATTTTTTTGTTTTCATTTTACACAACATCCTAACTTTGTCAGAATTGGGTTTTGTAAATGAACATTAAAGAAGAGATATCAAAATGATAAATTGGATACAAGTTTAGACACAAAAGGTGATAATGAACATGCTCTTGCCAAAGGTAAGCAATTATTTTTCTTGTTGGGAAGGTTGCCCCATGTTTTCTTGGCAGAAAGCTGCACTGCCCTAAATATATGAGGGTCCAATCAGGTTCAAGGGGCTACAAAGCTCAACCCCTGTTTTGTGTTTTTCCCCCTGGAAGAAAAATACAGCAGCAGTAAGAATCAATCATAATGTTCTACACCAACCCCCTGAGACGCTGCAAGAAAGAGAGCTGTCATAACTAGTGGGTTGGTAGTATGAAAAAATGGTTTTCTGCTGTTACAAAGCAAATTCTGTGTAATTGTCTGACGGCTGAGTCCGTCCATCTTTGTCTGATTTGACCCAGAGCTACAACACCATAGCCATCCTCAGCGTCACCGCCTAACTCATTATAGACTTTTAATATATCTTCCCGTCAAAGACGCTTTTCAATATGTTAAATAGAAACCCGGTGGGGCTGACTTCTCAAGGACAGTGAGCACAGTGCCCTCTGGCTGCTGGCCAGGCCGCTCTGGCAGACTGCTTCTAAATTAACCGCTTCTCCATGTTGGCTCTGGAGGAAGGACTTACGCAGGGTGGAGTAAGTGCCCCGAGTGTTTAGCCAGCGTATTCAACAGCCTGCATCTCTGGCTTAACAAATCGGACTAGATTGCTTCATGGACCTCCTAACTTCCATTCAGGGAACAAGGGCTATCAGGGGGCACTGGAGAGGGGACGTTGCATCTGTGGCCTGAGGACTCTCAAGCTGCACATGGGTAGTCTAGAATCTGCACTTAGGTAATTATCTGCACTCCCCTGTTGTTTCAGGGAGGAGAATTCGTTTAGAAATCTTTGGCTAAGGGGTGGGTAAAAAAAAAAGTTGTGTGGAGGCTTATAAAACACGTCAAGAAAACAAAATGGAGGTCAGGCGTGGTGCTTGTGAAAATGGCAGTGACTTTTGCGCCTACCAACTTGAGGCAACCTTTTTTCCCCCCACACCCGTGACGTGAATAAAAAAATGTCAAACTCTCATTTTTTTCTGTTTAACTTTGAATTTGTTTTTGCATTTGTTGTATATTTTTATCAGGCATGTTTATACTCTTCACGCAGACAACAACTGACCCCCTGTGAAGCGGAGCTGTTTCTGTCTGGTTATGAYAAAATTAAAAGTGCACCGAGTAATTACTGGTTGGGACACATGATCCAAAGAACAAACCACATCTTCACAGGTGGTTTGCCACAACATCTTCCCAGTCAGGTAAACTTTATAATTACTGTGTGCAACCACCAAAATGACATGGTACAGTCACAGTTTAAAGTTGCATATTGGAAAACTAAAAAATTGTCTTTACTTGTCAGTTTTTTTTTTCAAAGAAAGCAGAACCATTCCACAACTATACTGGTTGCATTGAAATAATTGAAMTTAACCATCTGAGGAGCTTCTCCACATTTGACGCCATCTCTGGGAGCAACATAAACCGATGCAGGTAAGGTTATTTTATTCCAATTAAACAAAACTAAGAAACTGAGGTGGGGGGGGGGGGGGGGGGGTTAGATTTTTTTTCAGTTGTTTTTGTTGTTATTCTCATTGTCCTCCAGCTTTTCTAAAAAACATAGAAAAATTACCGTTGTATGATACAATGACTCAAATCTGACAGTTAATTGTGATAAATTATACGGGRGTTATGTTCTCAGTTGGAGATTATCGTCAAAAATGTCTACTTCAAAAATAACCATGCCTCACGTTTTCCCTTTTAGCTAAGAAATTACCTTCCTGGGAGTCGAATACATGCTTTGCTCAAAATAATTTGAACATTAAAAGTCACACCGTGTCTTTCTTTACAAAATGATATAATTTCCTTCTGCTTTAGAGAAACGTCTTTTGTTAATTTTGATCACAAAATACAACAAAATTACAACCACAAAACATTTTTTATTTAGTCTGTCTTAGGAAATATTTGTTGAAGCTGATTTTAGGTATTTTTTCAGAAGATTTCACTCTTCTCAGTTCCTTTTTATTTAATATGTGTCTTGGACATGGTTAAATAAACAAACTGCACTCCTTTTCAAATACAAAACAGTACTGTAATGATACTAATACACCAGTCACATTACAAGTCAACTCAGCAAACCTTTAGCTTTACTGTAGAACCATTCCTCTGTTTCGGTGAGGCTTTTCTCAACACCTTTAAAAGTAATGTATATTTTAAATTTGAATGAAGAGTTCATCGCAAACAATGTTGACATTGTGCCAGTGTGACACTCATCTACAGGCCAGCGGTCCCTCTTTCAGGGATGAAGATGTTCTCCTTGATAGAGAGGAACGCTGGTTTGAGAGAGGAGTAAAGGAAGCCATCTTTGTGAAGAAAAACCGTCCACRGTTAAACAGAGGTGGAGGCCTTCGTGTCCAGTTGTCCTCCTACAACGCTGTTATTGCAAGTGTGACTCAGCCCCCTGTGAGCAAAAGGTGTGACTCAGGGCCCCAACGATAACCAACACGAAGAGGGAAAGAGGGACAAAAACAAGGGAACGTTGAACCCCGCTTGCACTCACTACATACACATAACACGACACCAAATAACCACAGCCGAAGCATCCAAGCCAATAAGTCAGGTGATGGGGCACTTGACCCTCTGTGAACAATAGAGCTAATCAAGCCTATTGTTAGGTGATGGCCCTCTTTTGCATGTGACTAACCTYTTTGTCCACTAGGTGGAAGCAGTGCTTTATAAGGCTGAGTTCACCTGAAACTCATCAGACTGAAGAAGTCTCTTGGAGGAGAGATGAAACGTTTTACTAAAGAATAACCCATCCAGAGAACCTACTTATTTTTTTCTTTTTGATTTTTTCTACCTGGATTACTGAGATGCATCAGGACAATGTTGACATGGCTTGTTTCTTGCTTGTTCTTGCGGGGTGTGAAACGCCTCCTTTAGGTTTAAAGGAACAGCATCAAACCAAGTTGCTTTGAAATACCCCTCAGAAAAGGGGCGAAAGAGGGCCTTGTGGAGTTCAAATAAGAAGGAATTTAGACCAAAGCATTGCAGTTCCACTTTATGTAGACCCTAGCCTGGTAAAAACCAGCCCTTTGTTCTTTGCTGTGCTTCGTGGGTCTGGAACTTTGGGCATTGAGAAGCGATTTCTTGCTGGAGGCGTGGACTCTGTTGAAGTTTAAAATGATTGGATCTGATTTAACCAACGGCTAATGTTTGGCCGTGATGTATGTAGTGCGCTAGCTCAATCGAGAAGGAAGCTAAGCTAAGAAACTAACAGGAAATTGCTTGCGCGGAAAACAACCATCCCCTACTGGAAGCGAGAAGTACCGAGCTGAACAAGACAACTGTAAATGAGAGCTGCGGGCTTTGTGAGACAAATTTCATTTAATTTGGAAGCCTTGTGTACACGAACTGGCTTCATTCACTTCCTCCACTGCCATTGCTTAACTACAAGCAGACTAAAATGGCGCAGAAAATTGATGTCTTCCTTCACAACTCTTCTGTTCGCTGATTGGCCCGGTTGAAATTCTATGGGAGAAATCCCAGACGAAGCAGTGAAGGGAAACTAGAATTGAAGGCAAGGGCCAGGCTATATAGACCCCAGTTAATATCATTTAAATGTGGAGGAAAAAAYGGGATTTAAAAGCATGATATGTCTCTTTTTAAGCTGTCTTTTGTCTACAGATACACTGTAAATGCAGTAGAGGACTACACAACAGGTCCATTAAGTCTGACAAGTCGCTTGGCTTACCCTGACATGATGAACACAACAATGAAAATGGTGACAGCAGCTTCTCCACCTCCCAGTCGCCCTCCACATGAAGCTCCGGTTTGCCATGAAGGTCTTTGCAGCAACGGAGGAACGTGTCATCAGCTYCAGCTGGCTGGCAGAACTCTTCCTTCCTGTCACTGCCCGCTCCATTTTACTGGAACTTCATGTGAAAAAGGTACCTGAATGTTTTTTTTTTTTTTTCACATTCAGCGTTTATTTGTTTTATACAGTGAAGAACATTACCTGCTGCATTATGACCTCCACAGTGATTTAACAAGAACCAGCCAACAAATTATGTTTCTTAATGTATGCTGAGTCTCTTTGGCTAATAGGTTTTGCTGTGAGGGGTAATAGAGTCAGCTGCATTAAGAATTTTGAGCGATGTGAATTATTCAGTATATGATTAATGAAATTGGAGATCTATATAAGCAGCTCAAATCGTTGCTGCGTGTCCACATGCGCCTCCAGGGCACACTCAGAATGAGAATGCAACCTTGCAGCGCTTGTTCAGCTTTCAGCAAACACTCTCACTCCTGTCCCAAGCAAAAATGTTTATTTTGTACCAACCACTAGGACACTAATACTAAAGAGCCTCGAGTACTAGACACACATGCTAAGTTTCCAGCCTTGTTCTGACAAATTATTCCTACAGTGTTAACATTTTGGTAAGTAAATATGTAGATTAGATCTAACAAACTGAATAGAATCAAATTAACTTTTGCTCCTGATAATTCACTATATGGTGGARTGGAAGAGGACATCTCACTTTAAATTATTATTGAGTTTTTGTCAAAACATAAAGTTTCAGACCACTTTAAGATATCGCGAGACCTTTAACTACAAGATCAATACTGATTTATATTGCGTTTTATTTTTCATTGTTTGTCTGTTGCAAAATGGAAGGAACACACAAGATAAATCAAGAGAAGAAAGACAACTTTGCTACATTTTTTTCTTTTTATTTCTTTCACGTTTTTGTTGGTCTAATATCCAGTACCATAACTAGTATTGGAAGTCTATATCCACCTTTCTTTAGTTTTGATTTTAGCAGAAAATATATATTTTTAATGGATTTCTTTAAGTAGTTTAAGACTCAATGGAATGTATTTGCAAGCATTTATTTTTCAGATATAAAGTCTTTGAGAAATGGACAAAAAGCACTTAAGATTTCTAGAGATAAGTACAAAAGGTTTTTACATATTTTTTAATATTATGTCACTTTGTAGTCTAATGTTCTGCTAATCGCCTCAATTTGTCTGTTGTTCACATACTTAAAATGTGAAAGAAAACTTGACATTTGAACTGGGTTTTCAAATGATTTATTTTACTGATATTTTCAAAAAGAACAGCCCTTTTTAAAAATMGCCAAATAGCTCAACTCAAACCATTTTAAAGAACTTTGTAACTTATCAGGGTCACTTTCAGGCTCTATTGTTTTTGGAAAAAGTAAGCTGTGCTTCTGTCAGAGGCAAACTACTCCTCTTTATCGAAGGTTCTGCTTGTTTGTGGACAAAATTGGTGCTGCTCTTAGAACACCGATTTGTTCATTATTGAAAAGTTACTTTCTCTCTTAGATGAACACAAGGTTACTTGGTAGCCTAAAAAGTTGGACATGTTTAKTAGTGCACTTTGCAATCCATKCATCCATCCATTTTCTGCCACTTATCCACAGTTGGAATATGAAGYCAACAGGTTAAAGAAGGAAATCCTAACCTCCCTCTCCCCAGCAACACATTCCAGTTCCTTCCATGGGGTTTTAAGGTATTCCCAGGCCAGAGATGGTCCTCTAGCAAGTTCTGGGGCTGCCCCAGGATCTCCCACATGAGCATACTCAAAAGTCCTCCAAAGCGAGGGGTGCAAAAGGCGTCCTAATCTGATGTTTGGACTACTTAGGCCTGAGTCCCACTACAAGAAAATCAGTCCGATTTTTGCCCTTCCAACAATCTTAAGGAAGTCCAGATTATCGTGATGGCTCTAAATATAATCATAGCAAATACTGTATTCCCACCGTGGGTGGTGAGTTAAGAGTGATCTAGTCGGCTCGGAAGGACGTCGGGACCGCTCCGACCTCAAATCGGGGATATTCAACATGTTTGATTTTTTTTAGCCCGATATCACAGTGTGTGTAGTTTTCACCTGAGCTCGCAGCCTGTTAAATGAGACGTGTAGCCAATCAGAATGCGAGGTGATGTAAACACGGAGGGGATTCCAAAACAGAAGACAAAAATACTGTCATGACTCACCAGYAAGTCTGTTGGATGTTAAAAGTCCTATGAAATTGTTTTCCTCTGGCAAAAGATAGTCCACAAACGATCAATATTGTTTCTTCCTTGTTGCAAATGTTTATTTACTCTGAACTCACGTCTCTCTGGAGGTCACCTGAGATTTTTTTTTTTTGGACATATGAATTCTCGTGAGATTTCAGGAAGTCGTGCGTGATTTAAAATCTGACAAATGAATGTTCATGAAAGAAATATCTTTCTGTGCGTGGTGTGTTGTGTCTTGCCGTGTGGTTGTACACCACACACTGTAGGACCAAACCTGGTAGATCCATGATTTTTATCCTCACATGTGGGCTCTATCAGTCTTTGAAAATCAGCCGACWGTTTTAAAATRTTGTAGTGTGACGCAGCCTTAATCTGAGCTCCGCCCAGCTGATGGAACTCTTCACCTTATCTCTAGGACTGAGCCCAGCCTATGGAGGAAGCTCATTTAAGCTGTTTGTTAGGATCTCCAGTTCTTTCAGTCTTGATCCACACTTCATGACCATATGTGAGAATTGGAGTGAGTAAATCAAGAGCTTTATTTAGTTCAGCTCTTCAGCATGACAGACCAGAACAATGGCTTTATTACTGTTATGGAAGGTTCGGTGGATTGATCAATCTCTTCATCCCATCATCGCTTTTAAACAAAACTCCTAGATACTTGAACTCCTCCACTTAAGGCAAAGATTCACCACAACAAGAAATAAGCTTTTCATGTTTATCCATTTGGGAGCCATGTTTCAGACTAAGAAGAGCTGACTCTCGTGCCAGATGCTCCACACTCAGCTTCAAAGTTACCCAGTGCGCACCTGAGGCTATGGCCCGAAGATGCCAAAAGAACAACATTGTCAGCAAAAAAGCAAAGATGAGACCCTGATTTTCCCAAACCTGACTCCCTCTCCACGACTGCACTTTGAGATCGTATCCATCAATACCATAAACAGAATGTGAGACGAGGGACAGCCCTGGCAGAATCCAGCTTGCAATGGGAAGAAGCTTGATTATGTGCCGAGAATGAGGACACAGCTCTGCRTCTGTTATACAGACTGAAAAGCCCTTTAAAAAGATCCTGGCACTTTGCACTCCCATGACCCTCTTAACTACTCTGCAAGGGTAAAAATCTGGTTCAGTGTTCTATGARCAGAATGAAAGCAAAACTGCTCCTCGTAACTCTGATGTTGGACAACTAGTTGGAGCCCCACTGCCAACATCCTGAAGTAAACTGCTATTCTAATCTACTTTATTCTCTATCAGCAAATATTAAATAGAAACTAAAGCTGGTTTTGCCAAACCAGACATCCTTTTTTATGTAAAAAGGAAGCAACTCATTTGAAAATGGTTATGCAAGCAAATTAAATCTGATCTTATATATATTTGCCTACACAAACAAACAGATTAGCTCCACACTGCTCTCTTTTTATAATCAGATTTAGCTCARAAAAGCTGTTAGAAACAACTGTCATCTCCTTCTGCAAAAGCTGCTTCAAATGTGGAAAATGCTTACATGTGACTCTCTRGTTATTGTTGTGGACGACACATACCATGTGGAAGAACAGGTGGCTTAGCAGGCAGAGACGCTGCAATAAGTAAAAATAAAAAGACAAAAATTAAAAAAAGGTGTGACACTTTTTTTTAAATGTTCCATAATTTTTTCTTCATTTCAAGCCTTGGTAATATTTAGATTTTCAGTCAAGTCTTAAATATATACTAGAATTAACAGTAAACACAGATCCTATATAGCTGACCAGGGAATAATTGAAAGTGTTAAAAATTTAGGCTAATAACAGTCTAATGTTTAAAAAGCTGACAGAACACTGCTTCCAGCTAGTGGTAATGGTCATTAGCGTATGTTGAGTAGCACATTTGCACCCAGATTTGACACATGTGCCATGTTTTCTAAAAATACAAATTTACAGGTGTTTAAGTAATTTACTAACACAGTCTTCTTTTCTTCAGGCACTGTAAAACAAAGTGCTATTTTTAAGACTTGTCTCTCATTTGTTGTTCCCATGGGAGATCGCTAAACCACATGATAGACACTGCTATATTAAGTCTGTTAATAATCAGCATTTTGTCCTATGGCTAAAAAGCTACAGTGGACACAGGCAAATGTGACTCATTCATTGACTAGTTTTTTTTGTTAACCCATTCCCCTGTTTTGTATTTTTCCAATTTGCAGAAATATAAATGACACTCGTTGGTATGCTGGATCTTTACATCTGACTACCAGAAATAAACAAGCTTATCTGCTAATTAACTATGATTTAAATCTGTAATACACGTGTCAAACTCAAGGCCTTAGAGCCTAATGTGGCCTTCAGGTGACTCCCATCTGGCTCGCCAGATGCCCCCCCCCCCACACACACACACACACACAATTTTTTGTTATTTTTTACTTAATATGAAAATTGTTATTAAATCAATACATTTAAAAGGTGAAAGTTAATAATACTTGTCCTGCCCCTGAGCTGCTGACTTTAAGTAACTGAACAATAATGTCTCAAAATAAGCTGCTTTAAAGCCAGCATTGACCATAAACTACGTTTCCCATAATGCATGTCGATTATGTATGGGAATTCCCTGTAGGAAAGTGGGGGAGTTCTTTTAAGAATTTAAGATGGCAGCTACTCACCACAACTCATCTGTGGGTAAAACTCCTACTTTTACTTTTAATAGTATTTCTGTACTATTTATTTCACATTTAGTTATTCGTACACTTAGTACTTTTCAGCGTTTATCAGAGGATGCGTTAAAATGCTGTTTCTATGCACAAAATACCGCTTAGAGCTCAGTTATTGTTTGTTAGAGGTGCTCAGCCGTAGCAAAGAGATGAGAAACATGATGTTTCGTATGGAGAGCCCTTTTATTCAAAATACAATAAATAAATAAATAAATAA